ATAATTGTAATTGTTTCAGTGGACGCTTTTTATATCAAATAATTAATTGTAATTTATAGACATCTGATTATAAAATTAATTATGATTAATGTCTGTTACAAATTCGGGACAAATAATCTGATTATAAGGTAGAAACTAAACAGAACACGAGATACTTATTAATACACTCTTCTGTGCATATATTACACTAATCCTTCGCGGTAAATACTGTTTGGCACCAATGAAAATAAAATAGTCATTTAATTGTCTTTTTGGTATATTTTTGATAGAAAAGCTTTTCATGCGCATTAATTATATTATGGTAAATAATAGAAATTGAATGTGTGTCTTCACTATTTTTTTTCTAATTACCTAAATCAAAAGCATTATTTTATTTTTATTGATAATTTCTGCGTGTCTCTTGTGAACTTTTTGCTGGGATTAGCGTGTACTTACTTTTTAATGTTTGTTGTTTTTCGCTGGAGAAATTGTGGTTTAGTTCAGCAAGCTTTTTCAAGACTGATTTTTGTCTGTTTTTAGTGTACTAACTAGTTACAAATCTTTTTGTTTTTAAAGAAAAATTATAAACGACTCTTATCTGTTCAAGTGTTCTCTTTATTGTACTGCAGTAACCTGATAGCCGATTTAAAAGTTCTTGGTACTAATTTGAAGTGTTTTCGATTCATATTATTTACTGTATTGTTTCAAATGAGATATATAAGGTCAATGGTTTTTTCAAGCTGAAAACTATCTTATTGGTAAATAAAGTTTCTATAAAGACTTTTTCTATCATATAGACCGTGATAAATGAGTGATAGTTATATTTCAAAGCGTGATGGGACGATTATATTTTTTACATAAATTGTAGAGAACGTTCGTCCAATTGCATAATGTAACTTAAACTTGACCTTCAGAAATATGTGTTAAATATATGCAATCACCGTTGAAAACACTAATGGCGATTAATGGTGCCTTTTAGTTCTACAAAATCACTGAACTGACATAACACTTTCTGTAATCAAAAAGTAAAGTACCCGGTAATTACTGTTCAAAAATATGTGTACTCATGCGTTAACGTATTCTTCACAGAAAAAAGACACAGGATTGAAGAGTATATGAATAGGCTTTTTCATTCATTCAGTCAGTCAACTACAATGTAGGACCAGGCAAATATATGCATCGGTCCAAGTTGCCACACCTTATTAGCACGACAAGATTATCACTAAATTCATAGAAGTAGTTACTCCAATGGTAGTAATATATAACAGATTGAATAAAAGGGTATAATACAGGAAGAAAGAATTAGTTGGTAGAAAGAAACGTATAAAGCAATTTTAATTTCACGGTTTTGGGGGAAGACGAAGATTGTATACACCTACGCCAGTGTGACCGATTCTGAGCCATGTCACCCAGAGTCTCCAACCATTGGTTATGATAGTCGCGTGTACCCTAATCAAATAGTCTGCATCTACCAAGATGGCTAAGAATAGAAGTTGGTGACTTCATGGACTGACGTCACGTTTTGGTTTGACCGCCCCTAACTTTCTTTGTAACTGACAAATGCACAGATATTTTGAAGGTGGAGGTTTGCCAACATGTCACATTTTATCTGAAAAGCAAATGACAATACTAATCATTGTCATCATTATAAAAAGTTTGAAATAATGTTCCCTTATTATTGGAATTATTTATTACTATTATCTTCACTATTTTATCTCATTATATATTTTGAATAATTAATATCACTTGATTGTTATTTCTGCTTAAGGAATTAAAGAGTAAATGATAAGAATTTAAGTAGTTTTGAGTTTCTTCTTTGTTTTGATGAACATTTCTGGTTTATTTTTTCCAACTGTTTAGATAGTCGGTTAAACCAAAGTGTAATTTACCTCTTCGTTTATTCTGATGTATAACTACACAAGTTATATATTATTGACTCATTCCCTTTCTAAAAATTTATTTATGTTTATCATTGTCCTGCTCTTTTTCTTTGAAGCATTCTTAGTTGGACATTCATCTTTATCAATCCTCATAATCGTGCAGAAAATGTTTACTGTTAGTTTTGTGAGTGTATAATATTTTTTGTTGACTACAGCTCATCACCGGGAAACGAAATTTTCTCAGTAGTTTCGTACAAGATGTTTACACTTTAGTAATTACATATTTTAATTCAGATTTTAAGTAACTTTGAAATGGGATGCCATAATGTTTAGTATAACTAATGATTTGTACACCATGAGAATGTACAGATAACTTTTCATGATACGTATGAAATCATTATCTTTTAAAACAAAAACACTAGCATGAAAAACATACATAACTAACTTGCTTTTTTTTTTTAACAACTCAATCAAAATTGTAACTTGTTTACAATTTAAAAAGGAAAAAACAAATCATCTTATTTAATATAAAATCACTATCACAACTTTATTTATCAATCAATCAAGTTAAAAATGGGATTTGAAACAAAGGGAGCAAATGTTAATTATCTATCACATTTAAAATAAAAAATAATAATAACTTCAGAATAAATTTTCAATATGACTATATCAGTGCACAGTTTGATGGATTACTTATTCAAATTTTCCTTGGTTATTTCAGTCTCATTAGTTCATTTTCTTGTGTGTGTGTGTGTGTGTTTTAGTGGGTAAGTTTGCTATGTGATTATTTTTTTTCATCGTTTTTGCAGCTGTCGAAGTGTTTGATAACTGAAGATAGAAGAACTATTAAGTACTTAACCTTGCAGTTGTTTCCATATGATGATCAAAATATTACTTTGATATGGTAAGAAATCCGATGGAATGGTTTTAAGTAACAACGTATTATCTCTTATTATAACAAATAGATTGTAGCTAGCTATGGAATTCAGGACTCGCGTTTTGGGACATTTATGATTCATCAGCTGAATGTATGAGTGTATATAAAGGTAATCTACAGAGGATGCACATATAACAACAAAGACTGGTCAAAATTCGATTCTAAACACCAACATCAGAATAATTTATTATTTTCTATTATTCATTTCTTATTATACAATATTAGTTCGTTTTGTATACACTAATATTCCATTCTTATTTGATACTCATTTTTCTATACTTTATTGACTTTATATAGTACCGTCATATTTAAGATGCTTAACAGCTGTGAAATGACATACGGTTATTATTCATTTTTTATTACATCTAGATAGTCTACCCGACTGCCCCCTTTACATATATCTAGTTTTGTAGTTCAAGACCTTTCCAACACAAATCGAAATAATCCAAGGAATTACTGATAGTCAGAGAGTCCTAGTTTACCGTTTCATCCTAATTTCATGTAACATCTACAGGTTCCGCAGGTAACACACTGAACCATAATCTAAGTCAGGTATAACGGTGACCACCATCCACTGTCATTGGTCTGCAACTACTTCATTGATGATTTGGTTCATTCTTAAAGTTGAAATGCGGATCATAGTCAGTTGCTAGGATGAAGTTACTTATTCTAAAGTTTGATGGCGCTTGACGATGTCAGACAACCTAATGTTGCTTTTTTTTACCACACTTTTTCATTTTTGGCGGTTTGAAATTCTCATAGAATATTCAGAAACAAAAAAATATTTGTTTTCCATAACTTCGTCATCAGACTGTTGTTATGAATCCATAACTATTGTGTTACAAAGGCCAAATTAAGTCATTCCACTGAATTAGACAATATTGCGTGCTAACAAGTAGTAAACCTTTGCATCTGTTACGTCGTAGATACTTCAGAATTGTGTCATCTGTGCATTAGAAACATTTTCGAAGGTTGTAAGGTGTCAAGTTATAGCCATTATTATAATAAAGTAAATCCTGCATAGTAGGATAATTTTGTCTACTTGATGGATATACTGGTGATAATAACACCGTGTGAATATAATCTTTCATAAGATAGATGTTATGATTAAGAAATTCACATGGATTGGGAAAGACGAGTGTTTAATATAAAAACGGAGCAGGGGATATATAAACGGAAATCGGGGAGGGGTTGAGGTGATTTACAATGTCCAATTTACATAAGTTAAGTTTTCTAAAGTTGATTCTGATGGCTTCAGTTATGTGAAGTGGTCATATACATACATATTTATATATATTTTTTCATTCAGTTGATCATTTTCTTCATCAATTTACCTTTCAATGGTCTAATTTCAATTGTTGTTGGTTTAAAATTAACATTTTAAATTTTCTTTTGTTGAAAATGATCTTCGTTTACGTTGTTAAAAAAAATATTGATCTTTCTGTATCGAAGTTAATTTGAGTTAGGGTTTTCTGCTTTTTTATGGATAACAACAAGTTTCTTTAAATGGAGTATTTAATTTTGTTTTCGCAAACTCTATTAATTTAGAGATTTCCAAAGAATAAAAGAAGGTCGATCCACTACAGTTATTCTTTTCTCCTTTGATTTTTCCCATCAAAGTGAAATTATTCGAAGATTGTTAAACTGCAATCGAGAATTTAAAATATTTTAATAGTCCATTTCTGTGTTCGAAACGCTCAGGTCTTCAAACACACTGTGCCATTTTGAGTTATAGTTTATTTTAGTTAGAAGATTTGTTAAAACGTTTAGTCTGCAGGTATTATGAATGAAGCTAATCAAGTTAGTAGTGAAAATAAACTTAATTTTGGTATATATCAAAACTAAAAATGTGATTGAGTTAATGGTAATGGTAGTCGTTAGAATCGGATTTATTGAAAGACACCATCTGTCTCTACAGTGAGATATTTTTTAGAACACTTTAGATGTGCAAACTTTATTGATGGTTATGAGTTTCATGAGAATAATGAGTTAATTTTTTTCGAGATACTATGAAGTCGAATGAAATATCCAGGTGATCTTCGTAGTCCTTTTAACCTTTTATTCAAACGGTATTGATTGAGAATAATTATGTACCACTTTTTAAAAAGAATTTTGATGTTTTTTGAATTCTGTTAACTATGAAGTAAACTATGTTTATTCGCTCATATAAATTTATTTTACTGATCATGCTTTTTTCAAAATAGGAAATTCGGCCCAGAGGCACTACAAAACGAACTTTTAAAGGAAATACTTTTTATATCTAATCGTAACCTAGGAAGAGATGATCGGTAAGTCTGTTTTTATTGTTAGTCGAGTATCTGTTATGTTGTGTTTTCTTGTTGTTGGGTTTTTTAGTTCACTGTTATTGTTTGATCGACTGATTAATTTCGAAAGGTACGTACTTACTTACTTACTTACGCCTGTTACTCCTCGTGAAGGAGCATAGGCCGCTCACCAGCATTCTCCATCCAACCCTGTCCTGGGCAATCCTTTCTAGCTCCGTCCAGTTGTAATTCATCGTTTTCATATCTGCTTCTATTATCCGACGCAATGTGTTCTTTGGCCTTCCTCTTTTTCGCTTCCCTTCAGGGTTCCAAGTTAGGGCTTGCCTCGTGATGCAGTTTGACGATTTGCATAATGTATGTCCTATCCATTTCCATCGTCTTTCGAAAGGTACGTGAAACCTACTAAAATCTGGTAAACATCTATGTATTCGTTTGGTTTTTTTAAAGAAAGAACATTCGTTTGTTGATTTGAAAAGTCTTAAGATAAAACGAATGATCTAATTGTCCTCAAATTATTCTACTCGCTTTTATTTTTCATAAATATTGAAGGCTTAAATATCTATATTTTCTTACATAAAGTAAATTCAATCGTCAAATCTTCAGGGATTATTAATCCTCTTTGTGCAATTTAGCTTTATTAATTAGAGTTTATGAAATTGAATCTTTGGGATTTGTTCAAATACTAAATTTGTCTATTAATAGTGTAAAAATTATAGAGATGAAAACATTAACCACTTCACTACTGCACCGGTTTGTGAGGCTTTAAGGTTTTATTTGTTGATGTATGTACGTGAACTGCCGAATACTTCGAGTTGCCACCCTGTGTAACTCAATAGTAGGTTCACAAAAGTGTAAGGATAGATAGATAAGATCAGTCTTAACATTCACTAATACTGGTTCCACGAAATAGCTATAGAGTTGTTTTGTTCTTTACAATACCCAACTTTGATTGATCCATATGTCTTACGTAACTTAACAAAAACATTATCCGAATTTTATGTTTTTGTACGATAGATATTATGTTTTAATGGTGGGAATAGTCCGTAATGGCATTATATATGTTTTCATGAAATATTAGCGAGTATTCAAACGGGATATATTGTGTTCTAATAATACTGAACAGCTCATTTTAGCACTAAATATGATACTCTTGTTTTCATGTATCACATTTCAAGGGAAGAATCTAACCGAATATTGTTTAATTTTTGTTGCCATTTGATTATAATCAAATTAGATAAGTTATTGTGAACAGCCAGTAGCAAGATCTTTACTAACACTTCTCGCTAATTAGCTCATCTGTAAGCCGAATGTGTCTAACAGGCTAACATCAATTGAAGAGCACCACTCTTCAATCAGCAATAAAAACTGAGTAACATTGCTCTGGTCCCTACTCAATATGCGATTTTGATTTAAACCAACCATTACATCTACCCGATATCATGTTAGAATAAGTGAGTGCCAAACTTTGTATCTGTTGCAATCATTTATTGGAAAGTGGTAGATGATTGCTCATATCCAACTCTTTCCGTGTATTCTTTGCTTTGTGTGTCTTTATGTGTTAATAATACTAATCTTAGTACATGAGGCTATAAAGATGTTGATCAGCGGTTTAAATATTACCATATAAAGTGCTTTTTCAAATCAAATATTTTGTCTTATTTGTTTTACTATATGATTTCAGTTAACATTTTTCACCAAGTAATCGTTTCCACATTTGTAATCGTAAAAATTTGATCAGCAAACAATGTGTGTGTGCGTGTGTGTGTGTGTGTGCGAAAAAGTCAAAGTGAAACAAATATATTATTTCTTCAGAAGTTTTTGACACCCTTTAATTATATTAATTTTTTTTTCGTATATACACACCCAAACATAAATATATGTTCGTCTTGTTTTCTGGAAAAAGTTAACATTATGAAATCTAATGTATTGACTAGTATTACGTTTCCTGTCCTCATATAATTTGATTTTGAATATTCTTTATGATATTGCTTTGAGTTTTATCATAAATTATGCTTTCTATCATACACTATTATTATCTATTAATTTCACGAAAAATAATAATATATTTGTAAAGTCCCAATGAGTAGGAAATTAGATTTCTGGTGTTTCGTAACTTGGTTTAAACCGCCTCATCAGGAAAGTAAAATTAACATCAAATTAAATTCACACAAATTTAAATAGTACAAAGGACACAAAGCAGAATATTTTTAGCATAGTAAAAATTAAAATAGGTCTGATCAGGTTAATATTGTTGTGACATTTCGGTCACAGTTATTTTTACTGTGTGAGACATGGCTGTTTGTTATTGTACGTATGTTGGTAGGTATAAGAATTGTGATATTTGTAATATGGAAGTGTTCGGTTAGGATCATTGATATGTTTTCTAATATTGTGAGATGTGGACAGGACTAATTGTGTAGATATTTTGATAAATAGATCCTTAGGCCTTTCTTTCTGTTAAGCACAGCGGTGTTTGGGGAAATATGAAAGAGTTCATTCTGTCGCCTTTCTTTATAAGTGAAAAATCTTTTTAGGATTATTTCGATACTATTAATATCTATTTGATCGTTGTACTGGTATTATCATTTTGATTTGCAGACTTTCTATTAATGCACGATTATTTGGAGGTCTTTTTGTGTAGTTCAGACGTTCTTTGGCACATGTCATGACTTCACAAAAAGACTCTTCAATATAGAATGAATCACAGTCTGCACTTCCCAGTCTGTAGGCACACTTCTGTATCGAAGTATTAGGGATTTCATCGTTTATTTCAAGTTGAGTATTTCGAAGAGGGTTCGTTATTTTGTTGAATAGTTTAATCCTGTGCGATACAAGTATTCATTTGTTGTTCTACTATTGTAATATGAGAGATGTTTAATTGTTTTTGTCTTTACGAATAAACTTCAATGTTAATCATTATAGTAAGAATAAGACATTTTACTCATAAGGAAAACTTGATTAACGCATTTGGAATAATTGAAATTAGTTCTATTTATTGAATACGGTGAGAAAACCACATATAGAAATGTAACGAGATAGGGGATTAAATGAATTAAATGTTTTTATGAAAGTTTTAATTGCTTTTCCTTTGTCTACCACTAAGAGAATTATGGAAATTCCATTATTTTTCATAAAAACCCACTAAATTCCCTCGATCGATAACTGAATAGAACTTTCCTCAGTGACAGATGTTAACCAGCTTTTTTATTGTCAACTGAATAAATATTTTAGTAAATTCCGATGTTTCAGCTCGATTTGAACTCATCATGAGAATCAATTATATTATGGGTTACAATGTAACATTAGCATCAGCAGGAAACCCTACTAATGGGCTTAAGCCCCATTATATCTCTTAAATTTCACCGCTGTCACTTAGACTAGTAATGACAGTAGCATTTAAACTAATCAACAGAATATTATCTACTATGAAACCATGTAAATATGATTCGGACTTTTTATTCGCTGTCTTAACTGTGATTTACATTCCTTTATCCAGTTTTTTTTCTTTATCATGCCCATTATCATTATAGTTTCTCTTTAGTTCGATTTCGCTTTTTGATTTTTAATTTCTGATCATGATTCATAGAGAGATGAAATCGAGTTGCGCAGATATCTTTGCCGTTTTGAATATATTGCTCTTTGTTAGACTATGCTCATTTACCTACGCCTGTTACCCCTTGTTCAGGAGCATAAGCCGCCCGCCATCATTGTCCATCGAACTATGTCGTAGACAATCCTTCCCAGTCGTTTCCATCTGCTGTTCATCCTTTTGATGTCTGCTTTCAATTCTAGATTATACGTTTTTCCATAAATATCAATCATAAAGTTTACTGAATTCAGTTCAAATTATTTCTATTTGAAATATACACTTTAATATTTATACAATTTATTCTTATCAACAACGCTGTCGTAAAACGGAATCTTTTATTTTGTATTCAAGTAATCGAAACCCGTCTCATTTTATTTTTGAATGATTCAGTTCCAATACTTGGTTACTCACGTGAGAGTTGATTGAAGGGAATTATAAACCGGTTCTTTTATTATTTTGTATGAGATAAACTTATACTCTATGAACGACGATATTTCTTTAGATTGTAATTTGAACGTTGTATGTAAAAATATAAATTATTATTCAGTATTTTGGTCATATTGCAATATGTCTGAATAAGAATAGTAGTACAATACAGCAGTCACCTATCACTGACTTCGTTGTATGATATGGATTTTAAATAATTTGTACACTGAATCGTTAGTCTTGATGACTGTAAACTCAGTAGACTTGAGTATCAGATTAACGATAACTAGTCTGTTATCCGTGCCATAAAATTACACCATATCGTTGTATAATGTGAGCTACGCATTTTCTTATTAGTTCACCTTGTTTCTGTTTGTAGTTTCCTTTGGATTTACCATTTAATGAATATATAAATTGATCAGAGGATTTTGCAGTTTAGTTTTTAGATTTTTTTTCTGTCCTACAAAAATGAATATTTTTTCATATTTTAAAAGTCATTCAATGTAGAATCCCAAGGAACTGTATTGAGTTACACTAACATGATTTATACCACAATGGTATTGAATTTCTTATTCTTTAAAAATGCACTTCAAAAATGCAGTCATCAGGTTAATGTATATTTTGTGTGTTGAATTAGATAGTTTATAATGTACGTATGTGTATGGAGTTTAAAATGTGGTTGACATTAACACATTTTAACTATTTATATTCTATGTAATGAGTTGTGATAAAAACCCAAATGAATTGTATCTGTTTTCATTTAGATAACATTGGTGACATAACGAAATACAAGTGTACAGTCGAAGGAAATCGATATACAACATTTACATGTTTAGACTTTTGACTATTACTTGTTTTAAACTGGAAAGAGCAATCATTTTTATAACTTTTATTTTATTTTTTAGGATTTTTTCAAACTGATGATTTCCTTTTAAACAAGTTGACATTTTTCTTCTGTCATAATGGCATATTTCCCTTTTTTCTTTAT